ATTGGTGCATTGATATTGTACAAAGATATATATCCTAATCAGATCCGATCTCAATAAAATTTGACAGAGGTATTTTTGAGATTCATAAGATATATGGTACAAAATGTTATCTTTGCGGAGTGAAATATTATCTTTGCGCATGTGAGGGACTTGATACCCAAAATCGGATGAAACATCCATATGGGAGCTACAGCCATATCTGAACCGATTTTGAATTTGATTTACTTGCTTCTAGAGTAAATTCGGTTGGATGTGCCAAAATTCAGGTCATTTGGACTGATATCGGCAATTTGGTGGATAATTAACACGAAATCGGTTGAATATATGTATATCTAAATTCGAACCAATTCTCACCAATTTCAATAGGGTTCGTCCTAGGGCCGAACAAATACTGTGTGGAAAATTTCATCTCAATTGGATAATAAATACGACCTACATTTTGTTCACAAGAATGCATGGACAGGCGGACGGACAGACGGGTTGACATGCATAAATCGACTCAGAAAGTGATTCTATGAAGATCCTCATAAGTAACTATGGGTCCATATCGCATGCTTCTCCATGTTATAAACAAATGCACAAAGTCATATTTAGAAGAAATCAGAGGCTTTTTTTCGCATTTTTTGAGAGAAATAGTTTTTCAAAATTGCTTAACCCTTTGGGGAAAAGTACTTGAAAGAGTGGACCGATACATCCCATTTTTAACCCAGATCTTCGTTTAGTGAAAATATTGGGATGTGTGAAATTCAAAGAGAATCGGACTTTTTTCACATTTTATGAGCATTTCTTAGACCCCCACCTCCTCCCCCCCACCATAGCATGGAGGGTATATTAAGTTTGTCATTTCGTTTGTAACACCTCGAAATACACATTTTAGACCCCACAAAGAATATATATTCAGCATAAAATTCTATGTCGATTTAGCGATGTCCGTCCGTCTCTTCGTCTGTGGAAATCACTCTAGCTTCCGAACGAATTGAAGTAGATTGATAAAATTTTGCTCAAATGTATGTTATATCTGCAGGACTTTTGGTATTGAAAATGGGCAATGTAGGTCCACGGTTTGGTGTAGCCCCCATATAACGGTACCTCCCGATATTCGGTATTTTTATGATTTTAGCGACATTATTCACCGGAATTGTTTCAAATTTGGTATTTAAGGTTCGTAATGGATACTACAGCCCAAGACAGAAAATTGTATGTGAGGGTCCACTTCTTCGTAGAGCGGTACCTCCCGATATTCGGTATTTTGTGATTTCAGCGTTTTTATTCACCAAAATTGTTTCAAATTTGGTATTTAAAGTTCGTAATGGATACTACAGTCTAAGACAGAAAATTGTCTGTTCTGGTCTTCCTCTTCGTACAGCCCCCATAAAACGGTACCTCCCGACATTCGGTATTTTAATGATTTTAGGGACCTTTTTCACTAGAATTGTTTCAAATTTGATATTTGAAGTTCGTAATGGATACTACAGCCTACGACAGAAAATTTTCTGTGCAGATCCACGTCTTCGTATAGCCCCCATATAACGGTACCTCCCGATATTCGGTATTTTGATGATTTTATCTACATTATTACCGATTTTTTTAAGTTTCGCATTTGAATATTGTAATGGCTTATGACAAATGTTACCTACGCAGGTTCATGTCGTCGTATAGACCCTAATATAAAAGCTACATTCGGTATTTTTAAGATTTTAACAGAAGTTTTAACGGATTTTATTGTTTTTAGAATTGCCAAATTCGTTCCAAATGGTGGAGGGTATACAGCTTTTTTGCACTTGTTATTCCTAGGGAGGTAGCAGGAGGGGTGGGCCGATATCTATCATCTTCACACCAGATCTTGTGTTAATGAAAATATTGAGACAGACGGACTTAGTTAGATCGACTCCAAATGTCTTCCAAAGAGACCTGGGTCTAAAACCGTTATTTAGATCAGCACGTTTGGCCTTAGTTTAGTAAAAATATTACGATGCACCATATACACCATACTAGACGGCAGGGCCGATGGTTATGACTAGGTAGAATGTTCTGAAACGGTTTTTATCAACCACAATCGATAAAGTCATTTAAATACCGATCATAGATTGGTACTCAAATAATCACTGTAAACATCGGTAGGAGATAATTAAACCCTTCACACCAAAGAATATGTTTCTTAATTCAATCGGAAAATGGAGTGATTGCAAGAGACAGACTAACAGAGAGGGCTAAATATTCTTAGAATTTTGCGTTGATCCAAATAAATTGCTGTCACCATATGTCGATTTTCGTAACTAAAAATTTTCATTTTTTGTGGGGGAGGTACGAGAAAAATAGTTTAGGTCAATTTTCAAATCTGACAAATATAGCGTTTTGCAAAAATTTGATAATATCGGGCAATCGTACTATAGTATCCCTTAAATTTTCAAGGTTTTCAAGAAAATATAAATTTTTATTAAAACATTTCTAGTTCTGCTAAATTTTCCCTTTCCTTATAATTTGATTTCAAACGAGAAACTACTATTCGATAACCATTCCGAGTGAAAGAAAATTCTGCCATCTAATGCAATCATCAACGACCATAACTAATTCTCTTCGATAATCCAGTTAGGTGGTGATTCAAAACCAAAGCAAATGGCACAAACCACATTTGGGGTTAAACTTGTTCTTGTACATCTGTCCCACCCTCCCACTCTCCGACTAGTTTTATTTTATTATAAATTTATTTAACCACCCAACAGAACTAAATACGCACACACCCACCAACACAAATACACATACATACACATGTATCTACGACGATGACAACAATTATAATTGAATTTGTTTTGTATGGCATAGGGAAGCGGCAACAACATGCCACAGTTACCGCCAGCTAGAACCCACAACAACATCTACTCTGTCTGAGAACGACAACGTACAACCAACCAACAAAGTGAAAACAATCTAAATCCATTATGAAACCATTCAACAACACCGAACCACACCACACCGCACCATACCACAGCTCAACACTCAACGCTCAACGATGCACACCTCGGTGAACCCATTGAACGAACAGCTGCTGCCAATGCATCAAGGTTGCAGTTGCCGAAGTCAATCTCTCTTTCTCTATCTCTGTCGCTCGCTGTTTAGCTACTCTTTGGCAGTCATTATGCCATCACCCACATTAACATGTAACTCGGGAGGACATTCATCCAAGTGAACATCAATCTCTATTATGGACGGGAAACATGCATGCATACAGACATATGTAACAGATGATGTGCCTAGACAGCCAGCAGCTAGCTGGTTTTTTTCGGTTATCCTTGTACAGTAATATATGTGTGAGAGAGTGTGGGTATAAGAGTTATTTGGAAAAAAAAATTTGTAGTTCTTTGGAAAAATTTAGTGGACCGATCATATGGCCTTAAAAATTGGATCAGATTCCAAACAGTAAAAACAGTTTCCCATTGGTATTGTTGTCTAAGACTTATCATCAAAATAACGAATATCAAGGGTTCCGTTATTAGGGGCTATACGAAGACGTGGACCCGCACAGATAATTTTCTGTCATAGGCTGTAATATCCCTTACGAACTTCAAATGCCAAATTTGAAACATTTCCGGTAAATAATGTCGCTAAAATCATCAAAATACCGAATATAGGGAGTTCCGTTATATGGGGGCCATACGAAGACGTGGATCTGCACAGACAATTTTCTGGCATAAGCTGTAGTATTCATTACGGACTTCAAATACAAAATTTGAAATAATTCCGGTAAATAATGCCGCTAAAATAATCAAAATACCGAATATCGGAGGTTCCGTTATATGGGGGCCATACGAAGACGTGGATCTGCACAGACAATTTTCTGGCATAAGCTGTAGTATTCATTACGAACTTCAAATACAAAATTTGAAATAATTCCGGTAAATAATGTCGCTAAAATCATCAAACTACCGAGTATCGGGGGTTCCGTTATAGGGAGCTATACGTAGACGTGGACCCGCACAGACAATTTTTTGTCATAGGCTGTAGTATGCATTACGAACTTCAACTGGGAAATTTGAAACAATCCCGGTAAATAATGTTGCTAAAATCATCAAAATACCGAATATCGGGGGTACCGTTATATGGGGGCTATACGAAGACGTGGGCCTACATGGCCCATTTTCTGTTTTATTCTATATTATCTATTACGAACTTCAAATACCAAATTTGAAATTTCCGGCAAATAATGTCACTAAAATCATCAAAATACCGAATATTGGGAGGTACCATAGGGGTTATAAAACGTGGACCTACACAGACAATTTGCTGGCATAGGCTGTAGTATCCATTACGAACTTCAAATACAAAATTTGAAATAGTTCCGGTAAATAATGTCGCTAAAATCACCAAAATACCGAATATCGGGGGTTCCGTTACATGGGGGTTATACGAAGACGTGGACCTACACAGACAATTTGCTGGCATAGGCTGTAGTATCCATTACGAACTTCAAATACCAAATTCGAAACAATTCCGGTAAAAAGTGTCGCTAAAATCATCAAAATACCGAATATCGGGAGGTACCAAATATGTAGGCTATACAAAGACCTACATGGACCATTTTCAATACAAAAAGTCCTGCAGACATAATGTACATTTAAGTAAAATTTTATCAACCTACTTAATTTCGTTCGGAAGCTAGAGTGATTTCTACAGACGGACAGACGGATAGACGGACGGACATTGCTAAATCGACATAGAATTTTATGCTGATCAAGAATATATATACTTTGTGGGGTCTAAAATGTATATTTCGAGGTGTTACAAACGGAATGACAAACTTTATATACCCTTCATACTATGGTGGAGGGTATAAAAACATTGTCAAACTTTAAGAGCCCATTGGTTATCCTTATGTCTCACATTATCCTACAAAAAATAAAAAAAAACATTCTGAAGATTTCCATTACACCCTTTTAGAAAAACCCCAAAAACCATCAACAACAATGTGCATTCAAACTTTATTTTGTTGTCATGTTTTCCAGAGTTGGCCGGAATAATGCTGTGGACGATGCCATCGGCCCGACAAATGCCCGTCACAAAATCGTTGTCATGGGCGCTGCCAAAGTCGGCAAAACCTCAATAATTACACAATTCCTTTACAACACATTTACGACCAAATACAAGAGGACCATCGAAGAGATGCATCAGGGCAACTTCTCCATAGCCGGTGTCAGTCTCACGCTGGATATTCTTGACACAGCTGGTTCATATGAGGTGAGTTAATGCAATAAATCATATATTCACACGAATTAAGTAACTTGGCTACACGTTTTTCATATCGTAGCTTTTATATGCTAATATGATTCTAACTGTGCCAACTTTAAAACCAGTAAAGAAGGTCTTAAAGTCGGGCGGGGCCGACTTTATGATACCCTACACCACTTTGCTAATTTAGCAGAGCTGCGCATAACAATTAAAAGTTTTTATGGGAGAATTCAATCATACAAAAATAACAAATCGGATGAACAATATATATGGTAGCTATAGCTATATCTGAACCGATTTCGATCAAATTTGGCATACTCATTTTCAGGTCCAATCTGATCGTACGTGCAAAATTCCATACTATTCGGACTGATATTACACGTTTGGTGCACAATAAAAAGCAAATCGGACGAAGATATATATGGGAGATATATCTAAATTTTGACCGATTGTCTCCAATTTCAATAGGGATTTGTCCACTTTCAAAACCATCTCCGAACTCGATCTAAGTTTGATAATAATTTTGTGGAGAATTTTCCAGAAAAAAAGTTATTCGAAATGGAATTCAAGCGTGATATATATATATATATATATATATATATATATATATATATATATATATATATATATATATATATATATATATCACGCTTGAATTCCATTTCGAATAACTTTTTTTCTGGAAAATTCTCCACAAAATTATTATCAAACTTAGATCGAGTTCGGAGATGGTTTTGAAAGTGGACTCCCCCAAATGGAATTTAAAACAACAGGTTCATATTTTGATGTGGTTCACAGTTCTTTAATTTATCTTCGACATTTTAAAGTATAGGTCCTTTAAGGCTCTTTCTGAATTTTTGACCAGTTTTCCGATTATAGGTAAATAAATTGTAAAATATAACTAAACCGTAAAAAATACATGGAGTCGGGGTTTACTTTACATGGGAGTAATACCAAACAGTAAGGAAAATCAAAATTCGGGTGGGGCCGACTATATGATATCCTACAGCAATATGAATATTTAGTAGAGCTGCCGTTACAAACGAATTTATTTGAAGTAAATCATTACACCTATCAACCTATGGCCAGGGCAGATATAATTTGGTTTCAGAGGGAACTAATATATGGGAGGCATATCCAATTCCGAATCGATTTTCAACAAATTTAATGTACTTGCTTCTAGACTGAATTCAGTCGAATATGCCAAAATTCAGGTCATTTGGACTGATATGCATATTATGCATGATGTTGCCCAATTTTCCCGAATTTGGTTGAATATATATATGGGAGCTATATCCTAATCTAAACCAATCTCGATAAAATTTGACAAAGGTATTTTCGAGCAGTATCTGATTTCCAGTACAAAAAAATCATTCTTGTGAAGTGCATATTACGCATGTGAGCGACTTGAAACCCAAAATCGGATAAAACATATATATGGGAGCTATAGCTATATCTGAACCGGTTTCCACCAAATTTAATGAATTTGCTTCTCGACTTCTTCTAGACTTCTAGAATTCTGTTGGATGTGCCAAAATGCGGGTCATTTGGACTTATATTGGCCATTAACCCAAAATGGGTCGAAGATATATGGGGGCTATATCTAAATGTGATCCGATTATCACCAATGACAATAGGGTTCGCCCTGGGGCCAAACATATAAATTTCATTTCAACCGGAGAATAAAGTCGACCACTATTTTGTCCCACACATTCGTAATATGCATTCGACAACAATGATATTTTGTACCAAATATCAGATACAGTCCAGAAATACCTCTGCCACATTTTATAAAGATCGACTCAGATTTGGATATAGCATCCACATATATCTTTAACCGATTTCGGGTTAATTGTTCACCGAATGGCCAATATCAGCCCTGAATTTTGGTACATCCGACCGAATTCAGTCAAGAAGCAAGACCATGAAATTTGATAAAAATCGGTTCAGAATGTTTCATCCGATTTGGTGTTTGAGTCCCTCACATTCGTAATATGCCTTTGACAAAAATGATATTTGGTAATAGATATCTTATAGAGCTCGAAAATACATTTGCCAAATTTTATCGGGATCGGCTCCGATTTGGATAGAGATCAAATATATATTCTTAATCCGATTTCAGGTTCATTGTGCCATTATTTGACTGATATCAGTCCAAATGGAGTGAATTTCAGGGCGTATGTTTCCATTTTGTGGAATTCGGATCCAATATAATTTTTTATATAATCCTTCTCCAAATGATATCGTGCACTCTACAGCATACTATAACTGATCTAAAGCCAAATATTGATATATGGTATGATCTACTTGAAATAAATTCTTTTGTTACGGGAGCTCCACAAAATATGCATAGTGGTGTAGGGTATCATATAGTCGGCCCGCCAGAATATTTGACCTTTAATTACTGTTTTTTTTTTCTAACCTACCAACAACTTGGTGGTTTTTGGTAAATACTCACTTCCTATGACATGCCCATGTTAAAGAAGTAAAAAAGCAGTAAGTTCGGCCGGGTCGAACTTTGAATACCCTCCACAATTTTGAACGAATTAGGAAATTTTCCAAAAAATAAAATCGCTTAAAAATTCTGTTAAAATCTTAAAAATACCGGATATCGGAAGTTGCCGATATTTGGGGGGGGGGGGTATATTCGATATTGTGGACCTATATAGACAAATCTATGTCTGGTGGTAAAGTACTGACAAAGAACTCCTTGTGCAGAATTTCGGGCAATTCAGTTAAAAAGTGGCTAAAATCATCAATATACCGAATATCGGAGAGTACCGTTATATGGGGGCCATACAATATCGTAGACCTATAAAGATAATTCTCTTCTAAGGGATAAGATACTCACAATGAACTCCTTGTGTGGAATTTCAGACAATCATTGGAAAATGTGTCTAATATTATCAAAATACCGAATATCGGGGGTACCGTTATATAGGAGATATACGATATCGTGGACCTATATTGAGAGTTCTCTTTTAGGATGTAAAGTGCGCACAATGAACTCCTTGTGTAGAATTTTAGACAATTCCATCGAAAAATGTGTCTAAAATTATCAAAATACCGAATATCGGGGGGCTATACGATATCGTGGACCTATATAGATAATTATCTTCCAAGGGATAAAGTACCCACAAGGAACTCTTTGTGTGGATTTTTAGACAATTCCGTTGAAAAACGTGGCTAAAATCATAAAATACCGAATATCGGGGAGTACCGTTATATGGGGGCTATACGATACCGTGGACTGATATAGCCCATCTTGAACTTGACCTGCCTGCAGACAAAAGAAAGATCTATGCAAAATTTTAGCTTCATATCTAAATTCATTTTGACTGTAGCGTTATTACAACAAACGGACAGAGGGACGGACATGGCTAAATCGTCTTAGAATTATACGCTGATCAAGAATATATATACTTTGTTGGGTCTAAAATGATTATTTCGATGAGTTACAAACGGAATGACGAACTTAATATACACTCCATACTATGTATGGTGGAGGGTATAAAAATGGTGAAATTAAAAGCAAATGTTTTCATAACTTTCTTCTAATGACATGGTCGCGCTTAAATAAAGTTAGGATGCTGCTACGTTGATTTAAGTTGTGTAAGTTGTTAATGAACTTATTATTGAGCTATGAGATTCTCTGGTTGTGATGTTTTTGAACTTAAGATGGAAATTGGAATCATGCAATCAACTTCCAAGCCAAATTGGCATACAAAAATCTTTCCAAGGTGAGAATATGTACTGTGTAGCAATGATATTTGGTACCAGTAATCGCATACATCCTAAAACATGTAAGCAAAGGCTATAGTCGTGCGGGGCCAACCATGTGATAACCTACAACACTACAATATGTTAGAAGCCTCTTTATGTCCAAATCCATTTTGGAAGATTTCGCTTTTTAAATTATATCACGGAGCACTGCCCAGATATTGCCCTTAGAATTTTGACCAGGGACATTTGCCTAATATTTACGCACTCCGTCGTGCTGTTAGTTGTTGTGGTCCATTTTACAGCTAAATATAATCCAACGGTCATCCAAGTCAAATTGAAAAAATCGCATGCGATAAAATATATGAAAAAATAAAAAAAATGTCACAAATGCTACAAAATCTATATTAAAATCATTTATTCTTTTATGCCAAGAGGCCATTCTGAATTGACAAACTTTGTCAAAATCGGTCCAGCCATTCTTGAGATATAAGCATTCTAGTTTACATCCCTTTCCTTTGTATATGCACATTGTATATATTTCGCTATATGTATCCGATATATTTACTATCGGCATCTACACAACGGTCAGAATTGACCCGTTCGTCTATAATGGAAAATTTGACTTTTGTTCAACACAAATATTATGGTCTATTTCACCAACTAAATATTACTCGATGACCATCAAAATTAGAAGACTTCTACCCAGCCCTAAGCTCTTGCCCCATGCTAACTTCCGCGTCGATTGGTCTATAATAGCGATCTGTAGAGCAACTTTACAATCAGGAAAATTTTTTGGTCCATTTTAACCTCTAAATATTATGCGATCATCTCCAAAAGCAATAGGCTTCTATTCTGGCCCTAGCCCCATCTACATTCTAAATTTCGTGAAGATCGGGCCATAATTGCGACCTGTAGAGTGATTACAAATTAACATGGACAGACGGACGGATATTTCGAGGTGTTATATATTTTTTGGCCCAATCAAACTTATAATACCATAGTGTTGTAGGTTATAAATACTCAAATCAAATTTAGTGCAATTTGATTGAAAATTGGTTGGTATGAGTTACTTTACGCAAATTCCCAATATAAACGTATATAACCAAGGACTCAACATTTATCATTTCTTTTCTTTAATAGTTTTAGTTGAAATAATGAAAATTTACCTTATGATATAACCAGTTTGGCTCTTATAGTTGGTAGTTTTTAACTTCCAGTCTCCACATCTTATAAAAAACGGAAAAATCGCTTGAGACAGCATATGTTCCCAAAATATTGCTAACAATCAAATAAACGATAAGATCCCGCCTACGAGTCAAAAGAAAATGTTATTATAGAAATATATGATGATTTATTCAAAATAAATACTGTCAAACGCAAACATTCCAATTATTTGAATGATTTCCAATGTTTGACCACAAATAATACAGGTTGCCAAATAAATCAAAATTCTAACACAAATTGAAATGTTTCCCAATGCTCCGGCATCATTTGTAGAAGAAGGTCATGATGATGATGATATCCTGCTGTTCTTGCACACACACACACACACTCACACATTTACTTTTTTTATTCTTTTCATACCTTGGTATCATTTTAATGAACTTAGTTTTATTAATACCCCTTGTAAAGGTTAAAAACAGCTTCCCGATAAATATGTGAAAAAGAGTATATGCATATATGTATGTATGTTCAAGCATTTCATTTTATTTCGGTCGCCACATAAAAATATAAAAATAATCGTTACAACCTTTTTTTTTTTGTTGTCGAGCCATCCATCATTAAATTTTGCCGGTTCTCCACATGAACTAGGCGGCAGGCAGCTACATTCGAACAAGTGAAAGAAATACTCAACAAAGAAAGGAAAGAGAGGAAGAATATAAAAATAACAATGAGTAAAATCTTTCCAAATAGACAGAATTATTGCTTGTTAAAAACCACCTCCGGCCTGTTATGTCAGCTGTCATAACAATTCATGGCAAAGGAGAAACACAGGATATCTATCAGCAGGCCATGCGGAAACGGGATGCTGTCGCTGATGCTGGTCACTTGCCATTAGTATTTCTGATAACAAGCTTTTAAATAAGCCATCAACGAACGTTGAAAATAATGACACAAATAAGTGTATGCTGACAAACAGCGGAAATATATGTTATAAATTAATGAGGGTCGGTATGGCGAACAGTAAAAGGTGATTTTTTCTCCTCCAATTCCAGGTTATATCTTTTTGTGCAAAAGAGCAAACATTTGAAAATAATTGGGCATTATCATTTGACATTTTTACTCAATTTGCTTTAACATTAAGCGATTGGTACATTTACACGATTATCATAAAAACGTAAGCGATATTTTGACATCTTCTGTCGCTTCAAGGTAGCAGTCATCACATATTCTCACTTTTAAGGCACGCGACAAAAAACAAAATCCAACCTCTCCTCCAATAGAAAAACTTTCAGGCCAACAGCTAATTAGGGAACATATCTTTTACCACTGTTAATGAGTGTCGCACCCAATGGCTCGATGGGCAAAATATATTTTGAGATATTTAACTACTGAGCACATTTATTATTAAAGAGAGAATCCGATTGAGTCCTTTCACCCTAACAGTCAAAATAATAACAAGAAACCAGTAAGGAAAACTCAAAAGTCGGGCGGGGCCGACTATATGATACCCTACACCACAATGCATATTTATTTGAAGTAGATCATACCATCTATCAATATTTGGCTTAAGAGCAGTTGTAGTTTGATTTCAGAAGGAACTAATATATGGGACGCATTTCCAACTCTGAATCGATTTTCACTAAATTTGGCGGACACATCTTTATCTTTTTTATATCAAATAACATTGCTATAGAGTGCATGATGTCACTTCGAGAGGATTTATATTAAAAACCAGTAAATAAAGTTCTTAAGTCGGGCGGGGCCGATTTTATGATACCTTACACCACTTTGCTAATTTAGTTGAGCTCCACATAACAATTAAAAGTTTTTATGGGAGAATTCAATCATACACCCTATGATTGTACGTATAATTTAAAATTCAAAGAACTAAATATACCGAAGCATTTGTATCTTTGAAAGTCGGACTTGTATTGCCCATTTGGTGCAAAATTAATTTGAAATCAGATAAAGATATATATAGGAGCTATTTCCAAATCTGAACCGATCTCGATAAAATTTGGCAAAGATATTTCTGAGCTGAATTTGATATATTTCCCTGAATATCGTTGTTACGGAGTGCATATTACGGTTGTGGGTAACAAATACAACAAATTGGATGAACAATATATATGGGAGCTATAGCTATATCTGAATCGATCTTCACCAAATTTGGTATACTACCTTCTAGACTCAATTCGGTCGTATGTGCCAAATTCCATCCCATTTCGACAAATATTAGACGTTTGGTGCACAATAAAAGGTAAATCGGACGAAGTTATATATGGGAGCTATATCCAAATCTGAAGCGATCTCGATAAAATTTAGTAAATGTATTTCTGAGCTGTATTTGATGTATTTCCCCAAATATTGTTGTTACAGAGTGCATATTACAGCTGCGGAGGACAAAAATAACAAATCGGATGTACAATATATATGGGAGCTATAGCTATATCTGTACCGATTTCGATCAAATTTTACATACTTATTTTCAGGCTTAATTTGGTTGTATGTGCAAAATTGCATACTATTCGGGCTGATATTACACGTTTGGTGCACAATAAAAGGCAAATAGGACGAAGGTATATATGGGAGCTATATCTAAATTTGATCCGATTCTCACCAATTTCAATAGGGTTCGTCCTTGGGCCATCCTTGGGCTACATGGACAGACGGACGGACGGACAGACGGACTGACATGCATAAATCAACTCAGAAAGTGATTCTATGCATATCATCAAAAGGAACTATAGGTCTATCTCGTTTCCTTTTGCCTGTTACAAACAAATGCACAATGACATAATACCCTGACCTCTTTGTGGTGTAGGGTTTAAATATATACCGGGGCCGAGTTTCACAAAATGGAAACGTACGACCCAAAATTTACTCCATTTGGGCTGATATTAGCCATCATTTGTAAAATAAACCTGAAATCGGATTGATGATATATATGGGAGCTATATCCAAACCTTAGCCGCTCTCGATAAAATTTGGCAAAGGTACTAAATGGTACCAAATATCATTGTTGTCGAATGCATTTTAGGAATATGAGGGACTTAAACACCAAATCGGATGAAACATATATATGGGAGCTATAGCTTTATCTGAACCGATTTTCTCCAAATTTCATGCACTTGCGTATAGATTGAATTCGGTCGGATGTACCAAAATTTCAAAAATTTTGACAGATATTGGCCGTTTCGAGTACAATCAACCCGAATTTGTTAAAGATATACATGGGAACTATATCCAAATCGGAACCGATCTCGATACAAATTGGCATACGTATTTTCGAGCAGTATCTGATGCCCGGTACAAAATATCATTCTTGTGGAGTGCATATTACATATGTGAGGGACCAGAAGAACCAGAAATCGGATGAAACACAAACCACAAATCGGATGGGAGCTAAAGCTATATCTGAATTGCTTTTATGTACTTTCTTCTAAACTCAATTCGGATTTGCAAAAATTCAGGTCATTTAGACAGATACTGGCCATTTGGTGCACATTTAACCCGAAATCGGTTGAAGATATATACGGGAGCTATATCTAAATTGAGCTATAGGTATTACGGAGGAACACAAGGAAATTCAAGGCTATGGTTGCAAGAGACTCCAAGTAGACTACAGGGATATTCAAGGATAATAAAAGGACGCACTGGACTTACGAAGGATGTCTAAGGACTTACACCGTATTCTTCAAGGAAGACTACAGGATATGCAAAGATATATACAGCTTGCTAGTACAATAATTTGTTTAAAGAAGTGGCAAGGAAAAAGGGCAAATAATTCTCATAAACTTTTGTTGTGCCGTTCAAAATGAGACAGGCTTGTTAATGCAGGGAGGCTTGCCAAATGATAGTTAGTGATTTCATTAATCATTTTCTGTCCTCTGACTAACAAAATCGCTGGCGAATCCGAATGAGCCCCGATAAATCTGTGAAGGTATAGACATCGGCTTCCGAGCATATCCACAGTGAGTAACGAATCCGAACGAATCCCGATCCATCTTAGAAGACCAGGACAGCCGCTCTCTAACGATTATGCCACTAGTTGCCAACCTGCCTTTAAGCCCCGATTATCCACCACTCATCAGACCTATGATCATTTACTGATGTTCCCAATTTCCTTCAAATCTTCACCCACCCGAAAGTCGACGTCACTTAGACCACTAACCTCATTTTTCCTGATACCATTCAAGCCGACGACCAAAAGTTCCCTTCCATCCCGAACGCAACATTGTAATTTTCGATCTTCCCATTAATCAACGTCTGTCGATCATCCACAAGAACCCGATTACCTTAAAATCGTCAACATTGTGAATGCCGAACACAAAAAAAACGTAATTCCTGATCTTCCTCACTTATCTACATCTGACGGTCACCCATGTGTACCGTTGAATCGTCGGCTAATCACACTACACACTGAGTACCAGTTTTAAACAACCCAAATCGTTTACCTTCTTGCCTACAAGACTTTTCCGATCGTCGGATTCCCGATGGCCAATTGAACAGCTTTATGGAGACCCTAGATACTTCTGAGCTTACCTCAGCCGACGAGGAAACCACATTACTGTAGATATTTCATTAATTCTACTAACCTCAACACGTATATTTCGAGGTATAATATTGTGTTCTGCATTCGTTACCCTGATGGCCATATAGTCCCATAACACCCCAGCGTTCGGCGGTTCTTCTTATGTGGGTACCAGCCCAGAGTATTGACTATTTTTGGGTGCCGAGCCATCGTCTCATCAGTCAAAGGTTCATCAGCATTGATCATTTTGATCAGCATAAAATTCTATGTAGTCCGCTTGTTCTTCTCTGGAAATCACTCTAGCTTCCGAACGAATTGAAGTAGGTTGATAAATTTTTACTCAAACATGCGTTTGTTCTGCAGTTTTTTTGGGTATTGAAAATGGGCCATGTATTTCCACGTTTTGATATAGCACCTATATAATGGTACCTCCCAATTTTCGCTATTTCGGTGATTTAAGCGATATGCAGGTCCACGCCTTCGTATAGCCCCATATAACGGCACCTCCCGATACTCGGTATTTTGATGATTTTACCGTCATTCGCGACACCGAAATTTTTTCAAATTGGGTATTTGAAGTTCGTAATGGATATTACAGCCTATGACGGAAATTTGTCTTTACAGGTCCACGTCTTCGTATAGCCCCCATGTATCGGTACCTCCCGATATTCGGTATTTTAATGATTTCATGGACATTTTTTCACCAGAATTGTTTCTAATTTGGTATTTGAAGTTCGTAATGGATACTACAGCCTATGACAGAAAATTGTCTGTGCAGGTCCACGCCTTCGTATAGCCCCCATATAACGGTACCTCCCGATATTCGTTATGTTAAGCGACATTATTCAGCGGAATAGTTTCAAATTTGGCATTTGATGTTCGTAATGGATATTACAGCCTATCACAAAAAATTGTCTGTGCAGGTCCACGTTTTGGTATAGCCCCCATAAAATAGTACCTCCCGATATGCGGTATTTTGATGATTTTAGCGACATTGTTTACCGGAATCGTTTCAAAATTGGTATATAAAGTTCGTAATAGATACTGCGGCTTAAGACAGAAAATGGGTCATGTAGGTCCACGTCTTCGTATAGCCCCCACATAACGGTACCTCCCGATATTTGGTATTTTGATGATTTTAGAGACATTATTTACCGGAACTATTTCAAATTTAGTATTTGAAGTTCGTAATGAATACTACAGCCTATGATAGAAAATTGTCTGTGCAGGTCCACGTCTTCGTATAGCCCCCATATAACGGTACCCCCCATATTCGGTATTTTGACGATTTTAGCTACATTATAAACAGTTTTTTTTTAAAGTTTCGCATTTAAATATTGTAATAATTTATGACAAAAGTTGCCTATGCAGGCCCATGTCGTCG